ACATATCTTTTCTTGGCTTCTGAGGTAAATCATAAATGGCAGTAGAACATCAGCTTCACTGACTCACTATTCTCTGCAGTTTTTGTTTTACTGAATCTGTGCTACAGTTTTTGTTTCTAATCCTTGGCCTGGGATTCTGGTTTGCATACAACTGATAGTTATCTCCACTGGTGGCAACCATGACTAGGAATCTGGTTTCACGATCTGACCACGTGGAGAGTTGTCAGGTAGAACTGGAATCCAGCCTTGGTCAGGTGAGAGATGACAGATTATTTGTTTGTTGTTGTTGTTTATAATTTGTTTGTTTTTCTATTTGTGTACTCAGATCAGGAATATATTTAGTGCCTGATGGAAAAGCAGTCTTTTGAGATCTGTGTTCCAGTGAGATTTTGTGTTCCAGTGTTCACTTTTGATCTGTAATTGGAGCTGTAGGACTTATGCCATAAACCTTTCATCTGTCTCTCTACCTGGGGGCGGGGGGAGGGGGAAATACTCTGTGTAGGTGAAATATTTTTCTATCTCCCAAGGATAATAATAAATTAAATAGAGGAGGCCTACTGTTCTGATTGGTTTACAGAGACTAACAAGTAGTTAGAGAAATCTAACATTCCCAGAATTTCAAGAATTTATTTTCTTGAAGTAAATTTTGTGAAATTCTAATGCTTTAAAGGTGCTTTTTTAAATAATGGGGTCTCACTCTGCCACCCGGGCTGGAGTTCAGTGGCATGAACATGGCTGGCTCACTGCAGCCTCAATCTCCTGAGCTTAATCAATACTCCCACCTCAGCCTCCCAAGTAGCTGGGACTACAGGTGTGCACCACCACACCCAGCTAATTTTTGTATTTTTTGTAGAGACAGGGTTTTGCCATGTTGCCTGGGCTGGTCTCAAATTCCTGGGCTCAAGTGATCCTCCCACCTTGGCCTCCCAAAGTACTGGGATTACAAGTATAAGCCACCTCACCCAGTCTAACTGTGCTCTCTTAAAAAAAAAAAAAAAGACCTGATTTGATAATTTGGTTTTAAAAACACCTTTAGGGACACATGTTCTCAGAATCTCCTGGGGCTGTGTCATGGGCAAATATAACTTTTAAGAAAGAAAATACATTTTAAAAACAACAACAACAAAACAGCTATACATCTTTTCCTTGTTTCATCAATGTATAGTATAATACAAGTATAATCTCATTTTTTAAAAAAAACTTGAATGTTTTATGATGAAGAGATTAGTTTACCTGAACTTTTAAACTGCCTTTTATTAGTTTGCCAAAAACATAAGCTAAGATTACGTCCATAATATTAAGAAAAATATAAACTTTTTGCTCACCTAAACTGAATTATAACTGTGACCAACCTTTTCACATTTTCCGTAATTATGTCCTGTGATGTGTTAGCTTGAACATAATTTCTAATACCTTTAAGTATTTTTGATGTGTGTCTGGTTGTTCCAGAATGTGGAAGAGCACAATGAAGAGCAGAAGTTGATGGAAACAGAAAATTGCAGATCTGCAAAAGGGGAGTTAGATTTAACTTGGTTTATAATGCTTGCAAATAAAAAGGCTATAAAGAAGTAACAAAATTTTAAGAATTTGGCAAAGTTTGCATGATTTTGATGCAATTATTCATAAAGTATGTTTAATGTAATGCATTAAAAATGTAATATATGACAAGCACCCTGTTAATGTAAAACTAAAATGCAGTTATTGCTATTGAAATGACAGACTGAACTTGGAGAAATCAGTCGATGCTTGTAAAAGGCAGTAAAAGGTTATTCCACATAATCTGCCCAAAGAACAGAGACTAGTATCTTACAAGAGTTTTCCTGAGCTTTGCGCTGATTGGAACGTATTCTTGCATATTTAAAATAACAAAAAGAGTTTTCTTCATTTTTGAACGATTTGAGGCTTCTTGCTCATCATAAAATAATCCATTGCCATTTGATTAAACAGCCAAACCACAAACATTCACTACTCTCAGGTATACACCATTCTTTATGACTCAAGTGACAAAACCTCTCATTTTGCCTTCAAGATCAGGCAGACCCTAAATACAGAAGAAAAAAAAAATTCCAAGATATCTATTTCTGAACCACTTTTACGTTTTCCCAGAGAACCTCTGGGCAATCACAAAGAATTGTTTTTTTAATTTTACAAAAAGAAAGAGGCTAGAAATAATTAGGTTTGCTCACTGCGCCCCTAAAAATTTCTCAAATCAAATGAGGAAGTCGCCTGCCCTTAAGATAATTTTATACAGGTAAAATATGATTTTTAATATTATAGGTAATGTTCAAAGATTGGGTACTTTACAGAAAGGCCCTGAATATATGCCAGTGCCCTCACTCTCTGTAATATGTTCTTAAAAAACTGATTTAAAGGATTTTAACTCTCCTTCATGCTGATATTGTTTGTTAAATTAACCACAGCCACTTAACTGTTACATTCACCAAGTATTCTCTACTTTCCCCGTGAGCTTGCCTACAAAATACAATATCTCGTTAACAAAGAAAAGACAGTTTTAGAACCTTGTGGACAGAACTTTACCAGGTATTCTTAACTCTTAATATTTCAAAGAATTGCATAGAGAAAATTAGACAGTACTAGGCACCCAAATTAGATTTTCAGGACTTTTTAGTCCAGAAATAGATGACTGCATGAAACCAAATTAAGAGCCCAAGAAACAGAGGAATAAGAATTAATTACATAGAAGTGATTGAATTGTAATAAAAATTGAATTTCTAAAAGTGGATATGTGTTTTGGAATATTACTAGTATTATTTTTAATGTTCTATTTTTTAGGGGGAAAATGCTTTGGCATTCATACTGCTCTATCTCTAATCCTCTATTCAGCTAACTCTGATTTTGCAAACTAAATGAAATATTATTTTAATGGTAAATTGTTCTCACTGATCTCTGAGAATTCAGGAAGTAATCTGAGTCACTTTACTTTTTAATGGCAATATCATAATTTGCATAGGCTTGATAAGAATCTGTCATCCCTTTTACCACAATGTAGTCAAACAAATAGACTATGCAACCAAGATCAAGCCTAGAGTGTCAAATTTAAAAATAAACCTCATTTCAACAGATACGATAAGTCCACTATTAAAGAAAAAATATATATAACTTCATATTTACAGCAATATCCACAAAGCTCTCCCAAGAAGTCAAAACTGTTTATGACTTAACGGGCCCAACCTTACAGGCAGTACAGAAGGTCACTTCCTGGATTGCCAAGAATCATACCAGATTGGGAAAATCTGGAGGAAAGAGAAATTCACCAACACTTAGAGATGCTGAACATGAAAGCTAGCAGAGATGAATTTCTTGAGTTTGGTTGCCTATCCTTGGAATAGAAGAGCAAATAGAAGCATTTAAGGAAGACGTCCAGAGTAATGGAAGCCATTAAAAATGCTCTCCCAGATTCCTTGTTATCGGATAGAAGTTAATATTCTGGCTTTATAAATAACAGTTGCTTTGCATGGTATAGCATTATATTTGCTGTCCATAAACAAGACTTTTGTATGCTAATTAAAACATCTTCTGAATTTCTGTCAATGAAGCAAGCCCAAACACAATGCCATTTTGTGACCAAGAACAGTCTGCAGAGATTATTTATGATAATAAAGAGGAATGTCATACTGAGTACTGTATAACTGACCCACCTAAAGACTATCTAAATTCTCTAAGGTTATGCACATTTGTTTTCATTCACCATTGTCAGTTAGGATATTTGAAAACTCTGTAAGAACAGACATCAACTTATCAAAAACTATAAGTGATGCAAATGATTACTGCTCTAAAATGTCAAACATACTTCCTACTGGATGGATGCAAATGGTTTCCGTCCATTATAATCCAAAGGTTACAACAGGTGTGTCCAATCCTGGTACACACTGGAGAAGAAGAACTGTCTTGGGCCACACATAAAATACACTAACGATAGCTGATGAACTTAGAAAAAAAAAAAAAAAGGCAAAAAAAATCTCATCATGTTTTAAGAAAGTTTGAGTTTGTATGGGATGACATTCAAAGCCATTGTGGGCCATGTGCGGCCCACAGGCCACAGGTTGGACAAGGCTGGGTTACAATTTTATTGTCCTATAGGGTATTAACCAGTTTTGTGATTCAAAAATCATATTCTAGAATATTTTAGCAACTAAAATACTTCTGATAATCCTATAGTGTTGTTGTAAATCAGCTTCACTATCCTGCAGCTTCTCTCGTTAAGGAAATCACGAATCAAAAATGAATCAAAGTAATCTCTGACAGGTATTCATTCTAAAAGAGAAAAACCTGTGCTTAAAAGAGAATGGGAAAAAGCAGTTGTCTGTTCTCATTCATTGGTGAGCCTCTCAAGGGATGTTTCCTCCTGTCTTCTTATTTTCAATAAGTATAAATTCATTTTAAATGGAAAAAGACAACTCAATAGATCTTGTATGTGTAGTTTGGAGTCACTGTACGTGCTAAGAATCAGAGCTAAAGATAGTAAGGTTGTGTATGAACAGTGTGGAGAAAAGCTGAGCACCACTGAGGCAACTCCAACTTTCTAGACAACTTGCTATAAAGACAAATTCACTACCTAATTCTTGGTGAGTCATGATTTCACTGACTACTTCTCTCATAACCATACACATGCAAATTTAATGATATAAATAATACAAGTCAGCATTTCCTCATAGTCTTAAAGAGAAGTTTGTTAAGACTCAGAAATTTCATAAAATTCGCAGCTCCTCTGTTATGTTTTTAAAGAATTTATACTTGTGAGAAGTCCGCAGAGCAACTAAATTAACATTAATTCCTGGAGGCCTTCAAGATAGCCAAACATGCCTATTAATAGTGATATGGGAAGAAGAAGCATATAGCAGAAGAGAAGAGAAAGACAGCAGCTGTGGCTGGTGAACATGAATATCCTATATTTCCACATATCCTGGAGTCCATCTCCAAGGCTGCCCTGTAGATGCTGGTTAATGAAACAGTGAGGTCAATCACTGTTAGATGATTACCAATCGCTCCATCTCCTGCTCCCTCAGTCTTTCCTCCCTCTGCCGCCGGTGATAATCCATCAGGTCATCACGTCCTGAAATGGAGCTAATGCTGCTTTTCCGTTCCCGAAGGACAGGCTGGGGGGTTCCTGAGGTCTGTCTGAGGCTTTCCAAATCAGCCTCATCAAATTCCACAGATCCACAAGAGAAGTTCCTCCTGGTCGCAAACACTCTGTCTGACTCTCCAGCAAGAAGTGAATGACTCGGGTTTGTCCCCACGTATGAAGCCCGATCAAAGTCATCAGAGGCGCAGGAAGAGGTGGAGGCCAGAAGCATCTTCCGAGCCACTCGAGGACTGGCAGGGACACTGAGGGTAGAACTTACATAAGGATTGCCTTCAGAAGCAGAGGTTTTATAGGGTAAAGCCCCTGAGCTCAAAGAAGAAAAATTAAGGTAATTGTCATTGTCTATTATGCTATGAGGTAGATCCTTTTCCCCAAGTTTTGTTCGTTTGGAATTGCCCAGAGAGTTTCTTGGAGGCAAGCTGAGAGGTGTCAGCTGGTTCTCCGTGGCTTTGTACAACCTGGGAAGTGATCGGCTGTAGGCTCCCATGTGACTCAGGCTGCTGCTGGAGTACTTCCTAGTTCTCAAATTGATGTTTTCAGATGCAAGCTCCTTGTGTCTAGTTAACTTGGGTTGAAGCGTCAGGCTGTCCTGAATGCTCATTTTCCTGGCTTGCTTTGGGCTTGAAGGCATGCTTGCAGCTCCCGATCTGCTGATAGGAGGGGGGCCAGCATCACTCAGGGAACTTCCATTCCACATGGCCAGGAGCGAGCCAGATGCCTTCCGACCTTCCAGCCCTCCGAGAAAGTAGACATTGTCGTGCGATTTATTCCTTGAGCTATACTTGGAATACGGAGGCTTCTCTGAGAGCCTCAAGGCCCTTTCACTGTCCCGGCCAGTATAATGATCAAAGTCTGCTCTTCCAAGTGGATATCCGCTGAGGGAGGATGTAGTGCTGAGTAAAGGAGTTGGAGGTTTCATAGCAATATTTTTGTCAGTTCCATCATAAGAGAACTGCTTGCTTCCCTGGATTTTGGCTAAGGAGGGGCTGCTTTTCACACTGGTTCCCAAAGGAGAAGGGCTTCTCTTTGCAGGCACAGGTTGTGAGAGGGTTAAATAGGAGCCAGAATAGTCTCCATTGGCTTTAAATCTCAGACTGGAAGAGTATTTCTTTGGGCTGAGGCTCTCCATCATGTTTTGGAAATTGTTCTCAACAGAATGCACCACAGCGTCTTCCTCTAAGCTACCATTTTCTAAATCTAGCTCCTTTTGTATGTAGCTATGCTCTTCCATAATCTTGCTGGAATCTGTAAAGAAATGAAGAGAAAATTTTGCGTTAAAAAAGATTTTAAAAGAACAATCGCTTGTTAGGCCTACATCTGAACAAATAATCTTGCGGTCTGACCTAATGCAAATAAACACAAACTCAGTTTTACTAATAAACCTGTTAAAACCATACAGCAAATTAGAGGATAATGAAGATCACTGATCTGAGATATCTTATGTACAAAAGAAAAATAACTTAAAAGGACAGCAATGACATTTGAGTGAAACAAATCCCTAACCAAGTAAAGGCGCAGGATTAGGTTGGGACATAAAAAAGACAATTTCTCCTTAATGTTCTGGCCCTTCAAGGAACACCTGCTTCCCTAGTGACTAGCTAATGCCCAAAGGCATAATGCAATGGACTTTACTATAGATGTCTCTGCTAGAATCATTAACTGCTCAGAAATAAAGTCCTGAGGAAACAAAATTCACGTTTGGGCAGAAAAAGAAAAGTTTACGTTAGACACTGATCAATAACGTGAGAGTTAGAAGATGGTTCTTTAAACGAGGGCTCTGGGATTTACCTTCTCAACAAAAAGACTTAAAGCTCCTTTAGTCATCAGAGGCAGGTAATAACAAAGAAAAGAGTATTCCACCAATTACTGACACGTGATCAGGATGGTATATTTAAAAACCTGAAACTGTTATATCCTTCAAATTTTCTAGTACCCCAAATGCACTAAGCTCATCCTATCAGGACCTACTCACTCTTCCAGGGAACAGATCAGGATTCTATGTTCCACGATTAAAATTTTTAAGAAAATATGTTTTCATCCCTGGTTTGAACAATGTTAACTTAAAGAACTAAAGTTTTAGCCTATGAAAATATCTTTTAATTACAAACTATTACTGCAAATGGGAAGGCTTATAATTCTACCTGTTAAAAATTTTTTTCTTAGATTATCAGTAAAGTGAAAATACAATTTAAACATTGTCATTGAACTCATGAACCACTAAAACTGTCCTCCAACCCTTAGGCACATCAGACACTAATTATGACATCTCTGGTCTATATATAAACAGTATCACATATGGTTAGTAATGGTTTCATAATGTGGTTGTCTTTGTAACTAGGCCACAGGTTTAAGGAAGAGGTTATATCTAGTATTTTTATCTTCCACCCCTCTAGCTCTCGTTGCCCCAGAGGTGAGCAATTCAATGAATGTAAGCTTTCCATTTTAATCAAAGCCTTCCTCACTCCCTCTCAGCCATGGATTAAGGACCTTCACCCTGTTGCTCAGCTTCACACAGTTTCTGAGCAAATTCAGACAGCCTAGTAAAGAGCTCCTTCTTTATCCACAAGACCACGAAACAGTCTGGCTGCATAAATCCTGGTCATGGGCCAGGTACCCAACTGCCCATAAAGGTGCAGCCTTCCCCAACAAACTCTGCCTTGGGTTCCTTATCCTCTAACCCAAAGCCCTGCCCAGATAGATACAAACATAATTTATCTTTTTAAATGTACCTAAAAAAAAATGAAGTTTCTTCATTACATTTGGCTCCCAGCTGGCATCTAGTCCTGCCATCTAGCTCTTGGTAAGGCTTTCATTTCCTCTGGGACAGTGCCCTTTCTGCCTCCAAGACAAACACTCTTCTCAGCATGTGTCTACTGCTATCAATTCCGGTTTTAAAAGCAACACCAGCCTAGTTTGAGACCTATCTTACCATGCCCGCTTAGAGGACTAAAACTGAGACTCCTCTATTCCGAAGTAACATCACCTCTCGTTGGCTTGCCATATTGAAATTCCAGCAAGCCTCAGCCAATTCTCTCAAGTTAAATATTTTGGAATTGAAAAAACAAGGAAATAGATGAATCTGAGGACATTACAGTGTTATTTATTAGAATGGGAAAATACCATAAATGCCAAATAATAGGGAAAAAATCAAATAAGCTATAATACATCATGAGAGCATATTATACAATCATTTAAAATCATATTTTGAAGTACATTTTATAGCACAAAAAGTACATTTATAAAATGTTAAGTTAGTTTTAAAAAACATATCAGGACACACACCCACACACATGGATTATACACACACAGGTATATTTCTGTATGTAATACAATGAGTGCCGTTTTCTTATACAGTTGACTCTTGAACAATACAGGCTTGAACTACATGGGTACACTTACACGCAACTTTTCAATAAATACACTGGACAATTTTTTGGAGATTTGCAATAATTAGAAAAAACTCAAACTGCATAGCCTGGAAATACTGAAAAAACAAAAAAGAAAAGTGAGGTATGTGATGAGCATAAAATATTTGTGGCTACTAGTCTATTTCATCATTTACAACCATAAAACATACACAAATGTCTTATGAAAAGTAACACAGACTACACATAATGCCATTCTCAGTAGAGAGAAATGTAAACAAACATAAAAATATGATATTATATCATGGTTGCATAAAATTCACTGTAGTACATACCATACTACAGTAATTGGACACCCCCTGTTGCTACTGCAGTGAACTCAAGTGTTGCAGGTATTCACTGAAAACGCCACGTGATGCTAATCACCTGTGCATGTGCAGTTCATCTCTCCAGTAAATTTAATATTGCAGTAATAAGTTATATCTCATGGTTCTCAAGTATTTTTAAAACATTTATTTTAATACTATAAACCCTGAATAACACCATGGGACACATACAAAATGCCACTAGTGATGCTGGAAGTGCACTCAGGAAGCAGAGACAAGTCATGATATTACAAGAAAAAGTTGAATTGTCTAATATGTACCAGACATTGAGGCCTGCAGCTACAGTTGCCTGCCATTTCAAAATAAATGAATCCAGCATAAGGACCACTATTAAAATAAAGAAAAGGAAAATTGTGAAGTTGTCACTGCAAGCTATGCCAAAAGGTATGAAAATTTTATACTTTTTGTGAAATAACTTTGAGTCTCAGTGAAAGTGCACCTTTTAAGTGGGCACAGAATTCCTTTAAAAAAAGGCATGCCTATAGACTCTAATAATATTCAAGAAAAGGCAAAATCATTACATGACAACTTAAAGCAAAAGGAGGTAAGGAATCTAAAGCTGGAGAATTTAATGCCAGCAAAGGATGGTTTGATTATTTTAGAAACAGGTTTGGCCGAAAAAATATCAAGATAACAGTAAAAGCAGCTTCTGTCAACCAAGAGGCAGCAGATAAGTTCTTGGACACCATATAAATTCCCTGAGGAGAAAGGATATCTGGCTGAACAGGGTGGTTTCATTGTTTTTACTTATTTGCATATTTTTTAATCAACTCCTAAGCACTTAAATGAACAGGTTTTTAATGAAGACAAAATTTGCCCAATCCTGAAAAAAATAAAAATGCCACAAAGGACATTTACTAGTAAGGAAGAGAAGCGAGCACCAGGATTTAAGGCAGCAAGGACAGACTTACTCTACCATTTTGTGCATACGTAGTCATAGTTATGACCAGAACTGTCCTCTATAAAGCTGCTAACCCTGAGCCTTCAAAGGAAAATATAAATACTAGTCTGTTAGCTGTACCACAAGCTAAAAGACTTCTCATTGGACAATGAGAACTCTTTTCCCGGATTGGTTCCATTGACGCTTTGTCCCTGGAGTCAGGAAGTACTTTGCCAGTAAGGGACTGCTTTTAAAGTTCTTTTGACATTAGACAATGCCTCTGGCCACTCAGAACTCCATTAGTTCAACACCAAAGGCATGAAAGTGGTCTACTTGCCCCCAAACACATCTCTAATTCTGCCTTTAGATCGGGGGTCCTAAGGACCTTTCAGGCTCATTACGGTACCCTATGGAAAGCACTGTCAATGCTATGGTAGAGAACCCCGATAGAGAGAAAAACATAAAAGCCTGGAAGTATTACCCTGTTGACAATACCATCATTGTTACAGAAAAGGCCATGAAAGCCATGGAGCCCAAAATAATACATATCTGTTGGAGAAAACTGTGTCCAGATGTTGTATATGACTTCACAAAATTTACAACAGAGACAGCCAAGAAAATCACCAAAAAGACTGTGGATATGGCCAAAAAAAAAAAAAAAAGGCAGTGGGTGAAGGGTTTCAAGATACGGGTTTTGAAGAAATTCAAGTGCTAATACACCACACAAGAGGAATTAACAGAGGACAACTTAATAGAGAAAAGTGCTTCTAAACCACTGTCAGATGATGAAGAAGATGTAGAACAAGCAGTACCAGCAAACAAACTGATATCACACAATCTGGCAAAAGGGTTCCGATTATTCAAGACTGCTTTTGCCTTCTTTTACAACATGGACCCTTCTATGATACAGGCACTGAACTACAGCAAACGGATGAAGAAGGATTGGTCCTATAAAAAAAATTTTTAGAGAAATAAAAAAAGTAAAAAGTTTACTTTTTGTAAAGTTACACTTTACAAAAGGGCGTAAAGTCACACTAAGTGTGCCCGCCTCTCCCGCCTCCCCTTCTACCTCCTCCACTTCTGCCTCTGCCACCCCAGAGACATCAAGACCAGCTCCTCCTCTTCCTCCTCCTCAGCCTACTCAACATGAAGACGAAGAGGATGAAGACCTTCATGATGATCCACTTCCACTTAATAAATGGTAAATATAAGACTATACTTTCAGGTATCATTTCTATAGTTCATTACTAGAGAAGTTTCTCTGAACATGTAGAGTACCAACTTCTATGCAAAGAAACTAGAAAATCAAGAAGAAATGGATAAACTCCTGGACACATACACTCTCCCAAGACTAAACCAAGAAGAAATAGAACCCTGAATAGACCAATAACCAGTTCTGAAATTGAGGCAGCAATTAGTAGCCTACCAACCAAAAAAAGCCCAGGACCACAGCTGAATGCTACCAGAGGTACAAAGAGGAGCTGGTACCATTCCTTCTGAAACTATTCCAAACAATAGAAGAAGAGGAAATGCTCCCTAACTCATTTGATGAGGACAGCATCATTCTGATACCAAAACCTGGCAGAGACACAACAAAAAAGGAAAATTTCAGGC